CCCCGAGCACTTTCCTCGGAGGAGCCTCTGGTGCCAGCTGCTCACCACGGGAGCAGACAACAACCTCCTGAAGCTGTGGACCAAACGGTATGTGTCACAGAGGGAGCCTGTAAAAAGTACGGGCCAGGGCAGCTGGTAAATCGCGCAGAGATGTCTGGCATGCAGCGTAGTCCCCATATGGGAGGAGGGTACCCTATATGGTAACAAGGGGGGATTTGCTGACCGATAGAGCGGCCGCTAGCAATCCTGGGGGTAGGTCGAGCAAATCCGGGGTGACCGCTGTATCCCAGTATCGGGAGCCAGGACAGACCTGTCAATGACTGGTATATAAGAGGCAGGAGAAGGGTAAGTGCACCCCTTCACAATTGCGCTTGGTGCATTTTGGGGGTAAGTGGACCCCCTCGCAATTGCGCTTGGTACATTTTTGCAGCTGCTGAAGGTTGTCAACTGGAGCAATGATTGTATGATGTGAATGTTTGGAAATTTTATGTTAAAGATTTTGTGTGGGTGTGTGGAAATGATATGTTGAAATTTATAGGTGTATGTATGTTTGTTAATGTGTGAATGTCTTTACGTATTAATAGGGGTGATTCCCTGCTTTGTATGTGGGCTTGCAACTGGACTATATAATAACTGGCATCCGGCTTGTGTTTTGTTGAAGTGTAAATCTTGTGGGAGAAGGTGGTACTGTACATCTAGCAGACGGAAACCAGACTGCCTTGAGTGTTTTCCCCAAATTCCACACTTTTATGATTGGGAAAGAGCTCACCAAGAATCCAAAATAGTGAGATTAGTGTGTGTAAGGGAAAATTTAATTCCAGAAATTTGGGAGGTGTGGGAGGAAAACTGGGGGAAGACTATAAAGAAGAGTAAGAAACGATTTGCATGGAAGCTTACTAAAAGGAGAAGCCAAAATCAAACTTAAGAATCATTAGGAGAAGTTATAAAATGGGAAACAATCAAGGAGGAGTATTAAGGAAGAGTCCTCTGGGTTGTGTAATTGCCCACTAGAAAGGTATAGTTGGGACCGGAGGTACAGAAAGTAAAAAGAACCTTATTAAATATTGCAATCAATGGTGGCCGTTGTATAAGTTAGAAGGGGATGCTAAGTGGCCACTTAATGGGTCAATAGATTATAATATTCTATTACAACTAATGTTGTTTTTAAGGAGAGAAGGAAAATGAGATGAGGTTTCATATGCAGACATGTTTTTCACCCTCCGAAACCATCCAGAGTGGCAAAGGGTCTGTGGAATGGTAACCCCACAGGACCCCATGGTGCTCACAGTTGAGCAAGAAAACAACAAGGAGCTTAGAGGTAAACTGAGGCAGTGTTGTTCGGCATGTAGTATTGGACAAAGATGTACTAAGGCAAATAGAATTCATCAGGCACCAGAACAAGATTTAACTGATTTGTTTAAGCCTCCCCCTCGACCACAGGAACAGGATGCAGACTCAGATAGAACTCTGACCCCCCCCGAACAGACAAGCACCTCTCCAAGAGGCGGTGGGGCCGGATGGTGGGACAATGTTAATCAAAGTACCCTTTTCTACTGCTGACCTAGGGGAATGGAAAAAGGTTGCAAAAGATTATAGGAGTGATCCGATAAGTGTAACTAAGCATTTCCAATTTATTATAAAACAGCATAACCCTGATTGGAAGGATATACAGTTATTATTGGAATATATGACTGAGAGAAACAGCTGATTTTAAAAACAGCAGGAAACCTTGCTGAAGATCATTATAAGATTACAGGAGGGAATATTTCCCTCTCCAAGACCCAAAGTGGGATGTTAATAGATCTGCACATATGGAAAGATTGCAGGGGTATCAGGAGTGGATTATAAAAGGAATGGAGAGAGCGATCCCCAAAACTATAAATTGGTCAGCTTTATATGCAGTTAAACAGAGTCCTTCCGAGTCTCCATCCGAATTCCTGGATCGACTGAGGGATGTGATGCGCCGCAGCACACCGCTGGATCCTGGGTCAGAGGTAGGAGTACAACAATTAGTCTCCCTGTTTTGGGGTCAGTCTACAGGGGATATAAGGCGCAAACTTCAGAAATTACGCCCTACAGAGAGTAGGAATTTAGAAATATTGTTGGATGAAGCATGGAGAGTATTTAGTAACAGAGAAGAAGGATATAGGCAAGGGCAAAGGAAATTAATGGCTGTTATTCAGGAAGAAAGAGGAAGAGGGCCTAGACGAGACTTGCCCCGACTGGGCAAGGATCAATGTGCTTTGTGTAAGAAATTCGGTCATTGGAAAAAGGAATGCCCAAGGAACAAGGATGATCGGAGGGCTCAAACAGGAAGTACGGTAGCCCCTGTGAAGGGAGACTGACAGGAACCTGGGGAATCTACCCTAGCGGATCCACTGGTTATAATTAAGCTAGGGAAAACACAACAAGAGGTAGAATTTTTGGTAGATACAGGAGCAACATACTCGGTTTTGAATCAAGCTTTGATGCCCCTGGGAGATGATTATGTCATGGTGAAAGGAGCGACTGGCCAAAGTGAAAAGGCATATTTTTGTAAACCTTTAGAATATAAATTAGGAAAACAGTGGGGCATTCATAAATTTTTATATATGCCCAACTCCCCAAAGGCACTTTTGGGAAGGGACTTGTTGGAACAATTGGGAGCAAAAATTGTATTCAAAAAGGGAGAAATTACTCTGGCGGTAAAAGATCAACAATATATTCAAATATTGAGCCTAACCTTAACCAGTCTACCCCTAGAAGGAAGCATTAACGAGGACATCTTAAACCAAGTGTACCCGGGGGTATGGGCTACCGATGCACCTGGAAGAGCGAAAAGTGCTCCACCTGTTGAAGTTAGGATCAAGGAAGGCCGAAAGCCGGTAAGAATTAAACAATATCCCCTAAAGAAGGAAGACGGAGAAGGAATCCGGCTGGTGATAGAAAAATTTTTGCAGTTGGGATTATTAAAAGAGTGTGAGTCTGAATTCAATACCCCTATATTAGCTGTTTGGAAGCCCGATGGGTCATATCGGGTGGTCCAAGACTTCCGGGCGGTGAATAGGATAACTGAAGATCTTTACCCGGTAGTGGCGAACCCATATACCCTGTTGACCGTATTAACACCTGAATTGACTTGGTTTACTGTTTTAGATTTGAAGGATGCTTTCTTTTGCCTCCCTCTCCATGAAGCCAGCCAAAAATTATTTGCATTTGAATGGGAAAACCCCAAGAGTGGTCGAAAGACCCAGCTCACTTGGACGGTGTTGCCACAAGGATTTAAGAACAGTCCTACCATTTTTGGCAATCAGCTTGCGAAAGACTTAGAATCCTGGGAAGCCCCATCTGAGGAGGGGAAGCTGTTGCAGTATGTGGATGATATCCTGATCGCCACCAAAACAGAGAAAGATTGTATGACATGGACGGTGAGTCTGTTGAATTTCCTGGGACTCCAGGGGTACTGGGTGTCCAAGAAAAAGGCACAGGTAATGCAACGCAAAGTGAATTATTTGGGCTATGAAATTAGTGCGGGACAAAGAACTTTGGGACAGGCCCGTAAAGAGGCAATATGTCAAACTCGGAGACCTCAGACAGTAAAAGAGTTACGGACTTTTCTGGGAATGACAGGGTGGTGCCGATTGTGGATCTATAATTATGGATTGCTTGTTAAACCACTGTATGCGTTGACAGCCACTGAGCAGAAACACCTTGAGTGGAACAAGGAGACCGAACGAGCCTTTGAGCTACTGAAAAAGGCTTTGATGTCGGCCCCGGCCTTAGGACTCCCAGATGTGAGTAAGCCGTTTCTTCTTTACTCCCACGAGAAGCAGGGCATTGCCCTGGGAATATTAGCACAAAACCTGGGCCCATATCGACGGGCAGTTGCCTACCTCTCTAAGCAGTTAGACACGACTGCAAAAGGTTGGCCTGGATGCCTGCGGGCAGTTGCAGCTGTGATACTGAATATACAGGAAGCCTGAAAGTTTACTCTGGGCCAGAAAATGACTGTTTTGGTGTCTCACACAGTATCAGCAGTACTGGAAGCAAAGGGTGGACATTGGCTCTCTCCACAAAGATTCCTGAGATATCAAGCTATATTGGTAGAGCAGGATGATGTGGAGATTGTAGTCACTAACATTGTCAACCCAGCTTCTTTTCTCAGTGGGGACACAGGAGAACCGGTACATCGTGACTGTTTGGAAACCATCGAAGCAACCTACGCCAGCCAGCCAGACCTGAAAGACAGCCCCATGGAAAACGGGGAAACTTGGTTCACAGACGGAAGCAGTTACGTCCTAAATGGTAATCGACATGCGGGATACGCCGTCACCACCAGCCAAGAGGTAACAGAATCAGGGGCTTTGCCCATGAACACCTCCGCACAGAAGGCAGAAATAATTGCTCTAACCCGTGCCCTGGAATTGGCCCAGGGCAAAGTTGTGAACATTTATACAGACTCAAAATATGCCTTTGGAGTTGTACACGCACATGGAGCAATTTGGAAGGAGAGAGGACTATTGAGTTCTCAAGGGAAAAATATCAAACATGCAGAAGAAATTCTAAGTTACTGGAAGCTGTCCAGCTCCCTAAGAAAGTAGCAATTATGCATATTAAGGCACACCAGAAAGTGAGCTCAGATTTGGAAAAAGGGAATGAGCTGGCGGACAGAGAGGCAAAACAAGTGGCCAAAACAAAGGTAAAACCAGAAGGGGCCTTAATTCCTGATAGGCAGATTTCCCTAGAAGGTAAGCCAGAATACACCAAGGAAGATCAAAAGCTCATTACAGATTTAGAAGGGTCATATAATGAAGAGGGGTGGGCTCATACCCCACAGGGAAAGCTAATCGTTCCCTCTTGCTTATTATGGCATTTGATACGGGAGGAACATAGGAAAAGACATTGGGGAACAGAGGCTCTGTATAATCATTTGATAAGAGAAATTGTGGCTAGAAATTTATACACCACGGTGAGACAGGTGACACAACAGTGTGATCTTTGCCTCCAGACTAATCCTAAGAATACCCCCAAGCCGGAAATGGGCCAGATTGGAAAAGGCAATGGGCCTGGACAACAATGGCAAATTGATTTTACAGAACTTCCAAGAAAAGGGGGGTATCGATATTTATTGGTATTAACTGATACCTTTTCAGGTTGGCCAGAAGCATTCCCAACAAGAACGGCTAAAGCTCAGGAGGTAACTAAAATACTGGTACAAGAGATAATACCATGTTTTGGGGTTCCAGCAACCATATCCTCTGACAGAGGACCACATTTTGTCTCAAAAATAGTACAACAAATTAGCCACCATTTGGGTATAGATTGGCAGCTTCATACTCCATATCACCCCCAGTCAAGTGGTCAAGTGGAAAAAATGAACCACTTAATCAAACAGCAAATTGTGAAATTAGGACAAGAAGCAAATTTGACATGGCCTCAGTCTCTCCCTTTAGCCCTTCTGTGTATACGAACAAGACCAAGGGCGAAAGAAGGACTGAGCCCCTTTGAAATCCTGTATGGACAACCCTATGGGATACAGAGAGGGGTGTCTGTACAAGCAGGGGATGAAATTATGACTTCTTACATGGTAGCATTAGGTAAGCGACTTAATAAAATCAGGAAGCATGTGGTAGGGACTTGAGGGAGAGGTTTGGATGGGCCTGTGCATAACATACAACCAGGAGATTATGTGTATATAAAGTCTCTTACAGAAAAAACTCTGGAGCCGCAGTGGGAAGGACCATTTCAAGTATTACTTACCTCCTTCACTGCGATTAGGATCAAGGAACAGAGCGCCTGGATCCATCACACTAGGGTGAAGAAAGCACCCAAAAGACAATGGACTTCACAAGAAAAGGGACCTTTGAAGCTCAAATTTGTGAGACATTGATTGTCATGCTCCTGAGTTGGACCTTGCCCAAGGGGCAGGCTTGGGATCGAAATACTTATTTAAATATAACAGAGAGTATCTCAAAAGTACTAAATTTATCAGACTGTTGGGTATGCAATCCCCTTCCTTGGGGGAACATGGAACTCCCCTTTTTAGGAATCCCGACCACAAATTGGACATCTCTTACTAGGGACGGGCCAGACAGGAATGGATCATGCCCTTATGGAAAGGGAAATACCCAGCGGGGACCCAGCTTTGATCTGGAGGTACCTGACCCTAAAGAGGTCTTAATTACTGGCCGTTGCTTAAATATTACTGATAATATTTGGGGAGACATGGACAATTGTAGCCTTGCAGAAAATCTGGGAACTTTTGATAAAGGAAAATTAGAACGTCTTGGACTGAACTTAACTATCAGTTTCTATTATATCCGGAAACCAAAGAAGGGGCCAGGAAAGAGGGGGCAAGGACAAGACAGAAGGGAGTCGCATCTCGGTCCAAGATGCAACATAGGGCCCGGATACTGGTGGCTCTGTGGGGATGGGAGGGCCAGAAAGAGTTTACCCCAGAACTGGAAGGGACACTGTGTTCGAGGGTACCTCACACCTCAGACCAGTATATTCGAGGGAGCTTCACCTCCCCGAGGGTTTTTGAGAACACCTTGGCTCCGTGTAAAACGGACTGAAAACCCACTAATTATTCGAGGTACTGGGTACCATAGTTTTGTCCGATGGTTAATCCCTTCTTTAGTGAGGGTAAGCGAATTGGACAAAGCCATTGTGAATATATCTGCTACATTAGAGATTATAGAAAATGCTACAACTGATGCAATTCGAGGGCTGCAACTGGAAATACAATCCCTAAGTAAAGTAGTACTCCAAAATAGAATGGGATTGGACATGCTTTTAGCAAAAGAAGGGGGCTTATGTGTAGTTATAAACCAAACTTGCTGTACCTATATCAATCAAAACCAACAAATTGAAACAGATCTTGAAGAGATATGGGAAAAGACTAAAATACTACATGAAGCTTCCCAAGATGACACTTCTTGGGGCTTGACAGACATATTAGAAAAATTAACCTCCTGGTTGCCAAATTTGGCATGGTTGAAGCAACTGTTTGTCACTATAATAATCATCATTCTCTTGTCTGTGGTCCTTTGCATAGTGGTTCGATGTGGCTTTTGGTGCTGTAAGAGTACAGGAGACTCTTACAGTGAATGGAAGAAGAATCAATTACGATGGAAACTCGAGTCCAACAAATACTTTGAGAGGATGCTAGATAGGGAAACAATGTATTAGAAGTACTAGGATTAGATATAGTAAAAGAATTTACTATTTTCTAGAAAAGGGGGGACTGAGACAAGGGGAGTGAAAAGAATCTCAGTAGATATAATAAAGGGGGATGAAAGGTGATTTTTAGCGCTTACATTGTTGAAATTAGCTGAGGCAGAGACAGTCCTTGATAAGAAGAGCTGGCCCCAAGAACCAGCCAAGAGGCAGAGACAGTTCCTGATAAGAAGCAGGAGCTGGCCCCAAGAGCCAGCCAAGACTGGTCTTGCAGCTTGGGTGAATACCAAGAAACCACTGAGCCTGCGCAAGAAAAGAGGTTACTAGCGGTGATGAAGAGGAGTCGTCTATCTTCATCTCTGCGACCACCAGACGACCACCATAAGGAGGCACTGCGCAGGTGCAGTTGAGAGGAGACTATGGAAATGACCTCTCGGAACTCATTTTAATAGGAAGCGGGGACAGGTCATGCATGTGTATAGGCGTATTGTGAAACTCTGTGTATATGTAACACTTGATTGTATAAATTTAAAGCTGCGGAGTCGGGCGCGCACGACTTTGGTGGGACTACCCCCCCGTGCTGCCCAGCGCTGAATGAACACACACCTACTTTACAATCTCACTGACTGTGGAGTCTGTTTCCGCACGTCAAAAGCGGCTGAAAAGGACGCCGGCCTTGCAAGCAACACCTGCAGCCGGCGTTGTGCCCCCGCGGCCGCGCTCACACGGAACGCCAGCCGCCCCTCGCCCCGGCCGAGCCCGCAGTACCTTCTCGCCGGCAGAGCAGCCGTTTCCTCAGAGAGACCCGCGCGTTCCGGCACGCCCGGCCTGGCTCCGCGGCGATGGGTCTCCAGAGGAGAGCGGAGCGGTAGGGCCTCAGCCCTCCCCGCCGCCGTCGCTCGTGTGCGGGAGCGCCGGGCGGGACACCGGGCCCAGCGAGGCGGGGACGGCCGCGGGAGCGGAGCCGGCACCGAGAACCCGCCGGGGA